AGTGTATGTGTGGAAGCCCTGGCTGGAACAGCCCCATTTGGGCTTCCAGCACTCCCCTGAGCCCCACCCCACTCTGATCCAGCCTACAGATCTGGGAGCACGTCGAAAAACAAAAATTCAGCTGCAATTACGCCACAGCCCTCTCCACTATCATGAGGAATCCAAGGATTGGAGGAGGCCCTCCCTGCTTATGAACCACACCTGTATGTGTGGAAGCCCTGGCTGGAACAGCCCCATTTGGGCTTCCAGCACTCCCCTGAGCCCCACCCCACTCTGATCCAGCCTACAGATCTGGGAGCACGTCGAAAAACAAAAATTCAGCTGCAATTACGCCACAGCCCTCTCCACTATCATGAGGAATCCAAGGATTGGAGGAGGCCCTCCCTGCTTATGAACCACACCCACCGAAGGCCTTTCCAGGCCTCCTTGCTGCTCGGCTACCTCAGTCTGCAGGCTGTGATATTTCACTGGGTGACCCACATAAAACAGCTCTGAGACTCCAGGAACAGGAAAGACCCAGGGGCAGCGTTCACAGAGCAAATCCACGCTGAGCAAAGACTCCGCAGAACCCTTTTATTCATAAAATCCAGGCACGTCTGTATAAAAACTTTAGAATCCTCCTTATCTTACAATATTTACAACTGGATATAAGCATCCAGGGCAGACGCACGGAGAGTCTGCTCTGAAGCCATCTGCTGGGGACTGCTGAGAACGTGAGAACCCTTGTCTGTTTATGTACGCCAGTGGTTTTCCAATCCCCCCCACATTCGCAGACCCCAAAAAACCTCCAATAGTGGGGTGATGTCTGCTGGAAGCTTAGGAGTAGCCCATGGACCTACAGGTCCATGAATCCCCAGTTGAAAAAACCAACTGACAATAACGAATCTTTAGCTGGTGGTACTTTGGCATACTCCAGAGAAGTCAATGGAGATATTCAGCTGCCAGATGCTGATGTATCTGGCTTGGAGCCATTAAGGGCATTGATTTATTCCACACCCTCCCTTGGTCAATATGGATCAATACGAAAGCAGGCATCCTCAGCGGCAAAGCTGTGGCCCAAAGCAGCTCTGGAGGTTTGCCCAGTCCCATTCCACCTTCTCATGAAGTTCGAGAGTTGACATGGGCCTCTCCACTCTAAAGCTAGTCGGCAGCAATTACCCGCAAGCCTGGCCCATCTTAAAACCGTTATGGAAGGAGCCCGGAGCAGGAGCGGACACGGAGGCAGCTTTGAAGTGGAGATGCCACAGTTGCTGTGGGTGGGATTTACCAGCGGAGCTACCCAAGCAGCGCCCGGCCGTGTTGAAGTAGAGCCAAGCCACTGTCCACAGGCCCAGGAACGACTGGGAATTCCTCAGGGAAAGGCCCTGCCGGAGCTGTGAAATGAGGAGGACTCGGCCGGCTTTCCTCCTCCTCACAGGTAGGCCTCTGCTCTCCATGGTGGCCTACCTGGAATTCTGCTTGGAGCCAAGAGGTGTCCCCAGAACCAGGGATGTAAAATCCCGTTCAATCAATTAACCCGGCGGCAGGAAGGGAGCTGGGCCCGGCCGGCCCCAGCCCCTGCCGATTACCTGTAACTGGTAAGAGTGATGCTTACGGGTTAACCATGCACATCCCTGTTCAGAAGCCTAAGCCCCGCCCGCCCCTCCCATTCCAGCCCCTCCCCTCTGAGATGGGGAGACTCAATCTCTGGGGAAGATGAGGGGGTGCTCTGGATGACAGCTGGAGAAGTTTTGCCTTTGTGGGTCGCAGTCCCCCAAATGCAGAAGGCCAGCGCCTAAGTGAACTGGAGCGCTCGGATGCATCAGTATTTGCAGATTGTTCAACTCCAGACTCCAAGCGCCTGAGAACCCTGGCTGGTCTCCTGCCTCCTTTGAGCGTCCCTCTTCAGTTACTTTGCAGACGGGAGGTGCTGGTCTAATCCTTGCCGCATGGGGGGTGGATTTGAGCCCCTGTTCTTCCGAAGAGCAGAGCGTGAAAGGGTGGGGTGGGAGAATGAGCAACATCTCAGATCTGCCAGGACCTCTTCTCAGAGCACCAGCCCAGAGACACGGTCTCACATCTCTGCAGGGCAAAGAAGAAACGTGTTGTTAGGGGACCTGCCCAGCACACGTGCGAACAGCCAGACTTGGGCATCACACACACACACACACACACACACACACACACACACACACACACACACACGTTTGGACTCTAATTGTGCCTCAGTTTCCCCAAGTGAGAGGGGGGGAATAGCAGCCACCCTCGCAGGGGTGCCAAGAGTGAGCCTTTGCAAAGTGAGGGGATATGCCTGGAGGGGGGGGGCAGCCTTTTCTTCTTGCTGCTGCTCTCCCCAAAGAGAGGCTGCGTGTGGCAACTCTGGACGTGTTCCCCAGAAGCGGGTCTGAGGCTGTGGTCAGTCTCCCTGCACGTGCAGGGCTGGAAAGGGCAAGAGTTTCCCCTGGATGAAACTGAAGCTCGAAATCCCCTCCCACCTGCATATGTAGCCTCCACCCACCCCCGGGTGTTCTTAGCAGGAGCAGCAGGGCAGGCAGGGAGGCTCAGGGAAAAATCTTTCCTGGGCATGGCAAGAGGCCAGGGCTGGTAGCGGCCCCGCCCCAGTTGCTCTCTGAGCACCGGCTACCGCCAGCCAGGCCTGCTTGCCGGACACTCGCTGGTTTGGCGTCTATTGCGTCAGCTGCTTGAGTGAGGGGAAATGGAGCTGGGCCCGCTCTGGGGGATTTCCTGCGAGCCCGATGGAATCAGGAAGTGCTGTCACTTCCCCTGCCTTCTCCTCCAAAGCTGTAGAGTTCGTCACCTGTGAGCCCCCCCAGCCTTTCGCCCACGTGTCAGGCCCCCAGCAGCAGCAGATATCGGAGGCAGGGGGAGGCGTTACCTTCCCAAACTGCCAGGTGTGGCCCCCTGGGCCCGCTCTGGGGGATTTCCTGCGAGCCCGATGGAATCAGGAAGTGCTGTCACTTCCCCTGCCTTCTCCTCCAAAGCTGTAGAGTTCGTCACCTGTGAGCCCCCCCAGCCTTTCGCCCACGTGTCAGGCCCCCAGCAGCAGCAGATATCGGAGGCAGGGGGAGGCGTTACCTTCCCAAACTGCCAGGTGTGGCCCCGCCCCCCAAC